CCTCCCGCTCCCACTCTGCCCCCTGGGCAGCGCCAGGGCCTCCCGCTTCCACTCTGCCCCCTGGGCAGTGCCAGGGCCCCCTGCTTCCCCCCCACGGGCAGCGCCAGGATCCCTCGCTCTGCATTCCCCCCCCCCCCGGGGTCTTGGCTCCCCTGTGCGTGCTGCTGAAGGTGAGGTCTGTCTCCAGCAGCAGGTGCCGGCCCAGAAGGCTGCGCCAGTGGTGCTGGACGTGGGGCGGAAGCAGAAGCCCGCCAAGAAGCAGAAGAAGAAGAAGGACCCAAATGAGCCGCAGAAGCCGGTCTCGGCCTATGCCCTGTTCTTCCGTGACACGCAGGCCGCCATCAAGGGCCAGAACCCCAACGCCACCTTCGGGGAGGTCTCCAAGATCGTGGCCTCTATGTGGGACAGCTTGGGCGAGGAGCAGAAACAGGTGGGTAGGGCAGTGGGGCCTGGGGGAAGAGCACAGGCAGGTGAGGGCTGGGGAGGGGCAGGGCTGGGTGTGGGCGTTGCTGCTCATCCCCTGTCCTTCCTCGCCAGGTTTACAAGCGGAAGACGGAGGCGGCGAAGAAGGAGTATCTGAAGGCGCTGGCGGCCTATCGGGCTATCCAGGTGCGTCAGGCACAGGGTAACTGCGCTCGGTGCTGTATGCATGGTCCCAGGCTGAGGGCAGCAAACAGCCACTCTGTGCCCTGAAGTTCTGAAGACGGGCTGGGCTCAGCAGGGACCAGCTCAGCGGAGAGACCAGGGCTGGATGAGGAGCAGGGTGGAATGAAGCAGAGATGGAGGAGGAGGGAGAGGGTCAGAGAAAATAGCTGAGGGAGTCCAGCAAAACTGTAGTTCTCGGAATGTCCCTGCTTCAGTTGCTTCTCCCCCGCCTGGCAGGAGGCTCTGGCTCGTCTGTTCTCCCCTAGGGCTCCTCTCTGGGTTGCCGCAGGGAGGAGGGGGCTGCCTTGCATTGTTCAGGGTCCCCAAGGGGGCCTTAGTTGGTCCCCCCCCCTTCCCTGCTTTCTCTGCTCTTGGGCTAATCTTCCTTCTCCCTCTCTGCAGACGGTAGCCGAGACGGCGGAGCTGGACCTGAACCCAGTGCCGCCCCCAGCAGCTCCCCAGCCAGCACCAGCTCCGGCCCCCGCGGCCCCCTCGCCAGCCCCCACGCCCCCTGCCCCCTCGCCGGTTCTGGAGTCCCCACCAGCCACCCCCCAGCCAGCGCCCGCCCCCGGGAACCTCTGCTCGCCGCCGCCAGCCCAGCCCAGCTTCACCAAGATCATCATCCCCAAGCAGATGCTGCCCTTGTCCTCGCAGGGCGGTGTGGTCACTGTCATCCCCGTCACCTCCGTCACCTCCAGGGGGCTGCAGCTGGGCACGGGCGCCACCCAGATAGTCACCCGCTCTGTGCTGCAGGCTGCGGCCGCTGCCGCCGCCGCTGCCTCCTCCATGCAGCTGCCCCGGCTCCAGCCCCCGCCCCTGCAGCAGATGCCCCCGCCCCAGCCCCCTGCCCAGCAGGTTGCCGTCCTGCAGCCGCCGCCGCCCCTGCAGGCCATGCAGCAGCCCGCCCTGCAGCAGAAGGTGCGGCTCCACCTGCAGCAACAGCCCCCGCCCCTGCAGATCAAGATCCTGCCTCCACCTGCCCTGCAGATCCAGCCTGTCACCCTGCAGCCCGAGGA